CAGCCAAATTTATTAATACTAAATAAAAATGACTTAGTATTAGTAAATTTTGCCCCTACTCGCTATACCGTGAGTAGGGGCATGTCTATTAAGCAGTGAGCAGCCTGTTTTAAAAAAATAAAAAAAAAAATAAAAACCTATTGCCCCCCCTGGCACCCACCCCTGAGCGGTGGGTGGGGGCCCTAAAGTAATATGATGGGGGGGGACCATCATATTACTTTAGGGCCCCTGGCCCCCACCCCTGAGCTGCGGGTGGGTGCCCTAAATTGGAATAAGGGGGGACCTAATGTCCTCCCCATGGCCCCCACCCCTGAGCGCGCGGGTGGGGGCCCTAGACAAGAATATGACAAAGTTTTTCTTTGATTTATTGTATAGATAAATTGTGCACATTTAGACATAAAACTTTGGAAATGTATTTGTCCTATCAGCGTCTCAAGATCTTTCAGGTCTTCTGAACTCACTACAGGTCCATGTTTAGGAAATAACCCTCCCACTCTCAAATATTTAAATATTTCTTTAGCAGGCAGATTATATTCTGAAACCACATTTTCAATGAATGTCAATGGACAAATGGTCCTATTGTGAAAACTATCAGGACTAGCACCATAACAGTCGCAGGGTTTCTGTAAAATTATACAATTTTCTCTCATTTTTTCTTGTTTCCTTTTTTCCATATTTTTCTCTTTTTCATATATTTTTTTCCTTTTTTTTTCTTTTTTTCTACACTTTTCATTTTTTCTGTGTTGTATATACATTTTTCTAAACAGAGAACTATTTAGCGGTGGATCCATTTGAACATGAATGAACTATCGAACTCTATTTATATTGTATATATAGACTGTAAATAACTGTACATATTCTGGGATGTATATACTATGAAGTCTGTAAAACCAATGAATTCATAAAGACATCATCAAATTACTACGGTGATTCGCATATTACCCATGAATTGGTGTACATAATTTGTATAATACATTAATTTTTCCTTTTTGCATATACATCAATTGACTCAACTCTTTTTTTCATAAATTCATATATTTGAGTGCAGTATTGAACTTATGGATTTTCTGTGGCAACTAATCTTGTGTCATGGTGTATGTAAATGCAGTCCATACTTGTGGCCATTAGATACACAGAGAAGTCCTTAGCTATAGGTGTCGTCTTGGGTTCTATTTTCTTGCTTTTTTCCATTCCGGTTGGAGTCTTGAGGAGCATTGCCTTGAGTTTTGCACCTACCGCCCTGTAACCACCTACTGCTTATGTTTCTATTGCCAGTTGAAAAAGCCCTGTGTGGCGAAACGCGTTTTGGCTGTTTTTAACTGTTTTTTATGTATATTAATGAAGGAATATTGGCTTTTTAATTTATATATGCCATATACCTTTTTTATTCAAACATTTTTTGTTTGTAACTATAATTTTTAGTATTATTTTTTACTATACTTCGGAGCAGTCATCCGCCCAAGAATCCGTAGGTGGGGATTGTACCACCTATGCTATTATAGTGAGCAGTATATTCCTGCTCACTCAAATGTGAGTACTTTACGTTTCTACATTCATCTGCTTTGCTAAAACCACAGTGAGCACTATATGTGTTTTTATTTCTCCCAAATTCTGAGGACCTTTGTTTGGTTATCATCACTCATATCCTACCAGTGGGGGATCGACGTCACTGAATGCCAATTATATCCGAGCTAGCTTTAGCTCTCCATTAGGTGAGTGTAAATACCACATTGCTGTGAATTTTTTTCTCTTCTGGTCATTTGCCATCTACACTATTGGAGTTTTCCTTTTTTTTCTGTCCACATAATCCAACCTGCACCAAGAAAACTCGACTAGTTCAAGTCTAAGGTCCTCCTCCTATCCATTCTCTATCTGGACTTTTATAATATATATATTTCCTTGCTCTGTTCAATATATGTAAGTACATTTTTGCAGTCTATATTACGTTTAGCTAATTGTGGCGTGACCTATTTTTTCCTTTTTTTTTGCTTTACATCTCTGTTTTGAGGGTTTGTGAGGGAACCTCATATCCATAGGTTGCAGCCTTATACTTATTTCAGCTTTAGGTTGATCATACAAGCGCTGATCCAACATCTACTTCTTCCACCTGGGTGGTAACCTTGTGGGGAAAACTGTATAAAAGACCAAGCTGTTCAATAAAACCTCAGATCTGCTGAGTTCCTGTTTTACCCTCAACATAGAGCCTCGCCTCATGTGTGGGGGGAAGGCTGCATCTACCCTGGGGATTGCTATATCACTATACTCCTAAGGGATTATAATCACTAAGTTCTTTTAAGAGCTTGTTCCAGCTACTCTCTCTTGGAGCCTTGTCATAGGTCCAGGGTGGGTAGAAGACAGCGAGTTCCCAGCCAAGCTGGATGTGGGGACTGCGGTGCTGATGGTGTCTGGCGGAGTGCTTGGAGTCTTCGGTGAGCACTAGGAGCATCCATCAGTGGAGGTACCCAACAGGAAGCTCGGTTACACCACCAACCTCCACCATTGTCCCCAAAGGATGTCCCTTCCAATCTCAGGGACCCCCAGAACGGTAACCGCCATGAACAGACACCATTTGCGGGGTCCTTTGTAGAACCAGGCAAGAGAAGCGTCTCTTTTCAGAACATGAATGCACCCACTAGCCGGCGTTTGCATATACAAATGGCAGCCACCCAGGAAAGCATTCATTAATTACTTCCCTTGTGGTTCCACACTCTTTTGCGAATTGTGCCTAATGGGCTGGTGTGAATGTTCCAATGGGTGCTGGGGAGGTCCTCGTTTGGGAACCAAACGAGGTGGGAAGTAATTTGTGAATGCTCCCCCTAGATGGCGTTCATCTAACGAATGGGCTGCCACCCAGGGTAGGCACCCGCTGAGGCTTCCCTTACGGTTTGCGGTTTTGACACCTCATTATGAGGTGCGAACATTCTAAAACCACATTCTAAATGGGATTTCAATTGTAATGGACCGTTTTGCACACAAGAGGTTAAAAACCGTTTAGGCGATATTCCCCTTTCCAGATGCACCGACAGCTACTGCAAGCACCAATCTCCCGAACTGCAAACTACACGAATACTGGAAACAGCCGAACAGGAAAAGCCTACAATCAGCTTACATTCCTGGCAATCAGCATATAATCCAATTCCCCCAATAACGAGACGACACTTCGTTTTGAGGTCAAGCAGAACTGGTTTACTGGGGCTACCTGCCCGGCTTTTATGCAGGTCTCCCACCTGGTGGACACTCCCCTAGGGGACCAGATGGAAGACTGGGACAATAAGGGTAAAAGGACCAATCACAAGCTTACACACTTTAATAATCCCACAATGCATCACAATCCCTCCTCTCTGGCCTGGAGATAATTGGGAAGTAATCCAATTATCTCCAAGGACAGAGGCAAAACTCCATTAACCACATGGCAATAAAAAGACAGTAAAAGACATAAAATTACATACTGTTACATTCATCACATAGAACATAACATTCTACCTATCCCCAGATAGCTTAGATCTGAGCGCACATTATTACCGCATGGCGCTCAGATCACATGCATACAGTTCAATCGCCATGGAGCCAAAGTCTTTCCCATAGTCTTTCGGTATACGAATGGGCTCCATGGCTTAGCTATCTGGGGTAACACTGCTTACATAGGGAAAATAAAAGGTTTTTAATGCAGGGCCACAGTCCAGCAGCAAGAAGTGGGCAACCAGGCACCTCCAGTGGCCAGTGGCGAGGTTGGTTCCACCACATTTCTCCCGTTTACCAATCAGACTAACAGGGTATCTGACCTCCTGTTGGTCAGTGCCCTGGTTAGTCCAGCAACCCACCCACTGAACCCAATCAGCAGTACAGCCCACCCACAATAATGGGTTACTACACTTGGGGAAATGAGTAGCTTGCCTTTGTCCAGGTGCTTCAACACTGCTGTGTGGGGTGCTGGTTGGTGGGTTGCTGAGTGGGCAGAGACCAGCGGTACTCTGCCCTGGTGCCAGAGCTATAACGGGAGTAGCCTGGTTGGAGCCCCACTGAGGAGAAGGGGTAGTAGGCTGCCCTCTCTGGATCTGGTGCTGCTGCTGTAGGGGGAGACCAACTGTCTCCCCTTTGGGCAACCAGTCCTGCTGCTGGGGGACAGGACCGACCATCCCTACCCCCTGTGGTTTGGGCACAGAAACTACGGTCCCATCTGCGCCGGTGTGGGGCTTATCATCTCCCCTTGGTGGGCTAGGCTGCCGCTGGGGAGAAGGGGTAACAAGCTTCTCTCCCATACATACTTTCAGCCGCTGGGGAGAGGGGATAACAAGCACCTCTCCCTGACACTATTTCAGCTGGTGGAGAGGGGAAACGACTGTTTCCCCTTTTGATATATTGGCCCGTGGCTGGGGAGCGAGACCAACTGTCTCTGCTCCTGGCAGGACACACTGCCGCTGGGAGGAAGGACGACACCTTCGGCTCCCTGTAACACACACTGCCGCTGGGGAGGAAGGACGGCACCTTTGTCTCCCTGGGACTCACTGGACTGCTGGGGAGAGGGACCCACGGTCTCCTCTCCTAAGGACACACACTGCCGCTGGGGAGGAAGTACGGCACCTTTGTCTCCCTGGGACTCACTGGACTGCTGGGGAGAGGGACCCACTGTCTCCTCTCCTAAGGACACACACTGCCGCTGGGGAGGAAGGACAACACCTTTGGCTCCCTGTAACACACACTGTCACTGGGGAGGAAGGACGGCACCTTTGACTCCCTGGGACTCACTTGACCGCTGGGGAGAGGGACCAACTGTCTCCTCTCCTAAGGACACACACTGCCACTGGGGAGGAAGGATGGCACCTTCAGCTCCCTGTGATACATACTGCCGCTGGGGATCCTCGCAGGACCAGTCTAGGAGGTCAGCTACCTCAGGTACCGCTGGTTGCTGTTGGGGAAGAGGACCGGTTGTCTCTTCCCGGGCCTCATTGGTGAGTCGCAGGTAATCCCACTCCAGGTCACATTCCTTGGCGACCAGATACCGTAGGTCTGCCTCGAGGTCCCACAGGTCCCAAAAACGAGAGTCGGTAGCTTTCCCAAAGTTCTCATCGTCAATATTATCCCAAAATAGGCCAGGGCCAGCGTAATCTCCGCCCTCTGGGAACTCATACTCTGCCATCTCAGGGACACACTGAGCTGCGTACCACTGTATTGCCTGGTATGCGTCGTCGAGCACCAGTTCTGCATATACTAGAATCTCGAGTCTAGTCACCCACGCTTCTTCGGTCTGTTTTCTCAGGAGGGGCATACGCTCTGCCATTCGAGCTAGGATTCGCTGCTTTCTGCTGCGGCGCCGATACCCTCGCAAATACTGTACTTTCTCTAGGGCTTCGTCCCACAACCTGGCTCTGGCAATCTCTCTGTACCTCAACATGTCCTCCTCTGACACTGCTCCAGACCTCAGGGATACGCAACAGTACAATCTATCATGAAACTTCTCCATTTTCTGAGTTCCTTTGTAGATAGGGGCGCTGTAAGGATACTAGCGTTACCCTCAATTTGTAAATCCATGGAATGGTGTTACCTTGTAGCTGTCCTTCTGGGCTGTGGGAATGATCCCGCCGCTTGCCACCGTTTTGCACACAAGAGGTTAAAAACCGTTTAGGCGATATTCCCCTTTCCAGATGCACCGACAGCTACTGCAAGCACCAATCTCCCGAACTGCAAACTACACGAATACTGGAAACAGCCAAACAGGAAAAGCCTACAATCAGCTTACACTTCTGGCAATCAGCATACAATCCAATTCCCCCAATAACGAGACGACACTTCGTTTTGGGGTCAAGCAGAACTGGTTTACTGGGGCTACCTGCCCGGCTTTTATGCAGGTCTCCCACCTGGTGGACACTCCCCTAGGGGACCAGATGGAAGACTGGGACAATAAGGGTAAAAGGACCTATCACAAGCTTACAAACTTTAACAATCCCACAATGCATCACAATCCCTCCTCTCTGGCCTGGAGATAATTGGGAAGTAATCCAATTATCTCCAAGGACAGAAGCAAAACTCCATTAACCACATGGCAATAAAAAGACAGTAAAATACATAAAATTTACATACTGTTACATTCATCACATAGAACATACACATTCTACCTATCCCCAGATAGCTTAGATCTGAGCGCACATTATTACCGGATGGCGCTCAGATCACATGCATACAGTTCAATCGCCATGGAGCAAAAGCCTTTCCCATAGTCTTTCGGTATACGAATGGGCTCCATGGCTTAGCTATCTTGGGTAACACTGCTCACATAGGGAAAATAAAAGGTTTTTAATGCAGGGCCATAGTCCAGCAGCAAGAGGTGGGCAACCAGGCTCCTCCAGTGGCCAGTGGCGAGGTTGGTTCCGCCACAGTGGTGGTCCCCGTTTAGGGGAGCAGGTAGTTCTACAAACACAATGAAGGAAACATAGGGAAAACACATGAACCCCTGAACCTATCTGGGTGATTTTTAAATATATGTTGTTCACCCAAATCGGGGCTATCAGGGGATGTGACATTTGTGGGCATATGTTGTATTTTGGGGTACATTTGGGGGTTTATAAAAGTGTATGTTTTTTCTGCTTAGAGTTAATTTAGTTAGTCCATTGTCTTTGTTAATTGTATCACAGGCAGAGGGGAGGGATTGTGTACACTGTATGGGAGTGACTGAATGTAAAACTATGTTTTTATTGACTTGTTGTTCCTGTGTCCCTGTGCCCCACAAGGTCTACCTGGGTGGTAAAGCAAAAAAAAAAAAAAGGAAAAAAATAGGTTGCGCCACAATTAGCTAAACTTAATATAGACTGCAAAAAATGTACTTACATATATTGAACAGAGCAAGGAAATATATATTATAAAAGTCCAGATAATCCAACCTGCACCAAGAAAACTCGACTAGTTCAAGTCTAAGAATCCATTTAGATTCACACCAAACTCAAGTACCGGCAAGACTACCTGGTCCTCCTCCTATCCATTCTCTATCTGGACTTTTATAATATATATTTCCTTGCTCTGTTCAATATATGTAAGTATATTTTTTGCAGTCTATATTACGTTTAGCTAATTGTGGCGCAACCTATTTTTTCCTTTTTTTTGCTCTACATCTCTGTTTTGAGGGTTTGTGAGGGAACCTCATATCCATAGGTTGCAGCCTTATACTTATTTCTGCTTTAGGTTGATCATACAAGCGCTGATCCAACATCTACTTCTTCCACCTGGGTGGTAACCTTGTGGGGAAAACTGTATAAAAGACCAAGCTGTTCAATAAAACCTCAGATCTGGTGTGAATGGGTGCTGGGCAGGTCCTCGTTTGGGAACCAAACAAGGTGGGAAGTAATCCGTGAATGCTCCCCCTAGATTGCGTTCATCTAACGAATGGGCTGCCACCCAGGGGAGGCACCCGCTGAGGCTTCCATTACGGTTTGCGGTTTTGACACCTCATTATGAGGTGCGAACATTCTAAAACCACATTCTGAATGGGATTTCGTGCTGGTCCCCGTTCGGGAGGTGAATGGAGTCCCATTCGTGGCAGTTCTCCTGAACGGGGAGCAGGTAGTTCTACAAACACAATGAAGGAAACAGAGGGGGGGGGAATAAGGAGAATACAGAGGGAGAGGGGGGTTAAGGAGAATACAGAGGGGGGGTAAGGAGAATACAGGGTTTGGGTAAGGAGAATACACAGGGGTGGAGTAAAGAGAACACAGGGAGGGGGGAGTAAAGAGAACGAGGACGACACTTACATTGAGGAGGTAAAGAGGCGCTTGGTCTGCTATGGCCCAGATCTTTCGAACGAGGTGGTCCACCAAGTAATGCGCCAGTTGAGTGCTGAGAACAGTGCGGCAATGGCCTTTGAGCAAAAACTGGAGGTTAAGGATATGGACACCTAGTCTCCAGCGGCAGTGCAAGTTACAGGGAGCCGAAGGTGTCGTCCTTCCTCCCCAGCGGCAGTGCAAGTTACAGGGAGCCGAAGGTGTCGTCCTTCCTCCCCAGCGGCAGTGCAAATTACAGGGAGCCGAAGGCGTCGTCCTTCCTCCCCAGCGGCAGTGCGAATTCCAGGGGGCCGAAGGTGTCGTCCTTCCCCCCCAGCAGCAGTGTGTCCTACAGGGAGCAGAGACAGTTGGTCTCTCTCTCCAGCAGCAGGACAATGTTATGGAGTGGAGACAGGCGGTCTCCCTCTCCAGCGGCAGCCTGTGTTTCAGGGAGAGGAGCACAGCACCATATCTCCCCAGCGGCAGCTTACCCTACTAAGGGGAGACACCAATCTCCCAGATGGTGCAGAGGGGACTGTGGTCTCTGTGCCCGACCTACAGGGATGCTGGACAGCCTGTCCAGATCCCCAACTACCCTCACAGGGACAACAGGAGGAGGGGGTAAGTACGAATTCCCCTCCCCAGCTAACTCCTAACTTGGCCCCAGGGTTAACAGAGGAGATGTTAACCGAGGAGATGTTAACCCCCACTGACTCCCATGGTCCCCTGGCTACTGAGCCGGACTATGTTCCCAGCACCCCAGCAGAAGAGCTGGCAGCTGGGCAGAGTGCAGTCAGCCTCTGCCCTCCCTTTGTCCCTTGTCCAGAGCCTGATGTCCTGCAGGCTATACCAACAGAAGAGCTGGCATCAGGGCAGACCGCCGCTGGCCTCTGCCCTACCGATCCCCTTGTCACAGGACTGGCCTGCACCCCCCTCCTCCCAGCAGAAGCGCTGGCATCAGGGCAGAGCGCCGCTGGCCTCTGCCCCTCAAGTCCCCACAGCGTGTTGCCCCATCACCCCAGAGGAATACCCAGGTGCAATCACTGTTTGCTGTGGGTCTGGCAATCTAATAACTGTTTGGGTGGGCTACTCTGGCACTTGCTTATGGTCGGTGGGTGACTCGACTAACTTAGGCACTGACCAACAGAAAGTCAGGTGCCTGGTTAGTCTTCCCCCCAAAGGGGAGATATGTGACGAAGTGCCCTTCGCCACTTGGTCCTGGAGAGGCCTACTTGCCAGCCTCGTCCCCTGTGACTATGACTCTTTCATGTATTTGGCTTTAAAGCCCCTAGTCTACCTTCAGACAGACTATATATGTAGAAAAACTCTGAGAAATACTTGATCAAGGTAAGGATAGAGGTATCATTAACAATAGAGAATTTAAATATTTACAGATGAAATTTCCAAGAATACCCGTTTTCTATCACCTACCCAAGATTCATAAAAGGTTGACCACCAAACCACCAGGAAGGCCAATCATTTCTGGAATTGGGTCCCTCACCGCAAATCTTTCCGAGTATGTAGACCAGTATCTACAAAAGATAGTACCATGTCTTAAATCATACTTAAGGGATTTCACACAAATTTTAAACCTTTTATTTGATTTTAATTGGACTAAAGGTATGCTTTTAGTTACAGCAGATGTCACCTCACTGTATACGGTGATAGAGCATTTACAGGGTTGCGAGGCAATACAATATTCCCTGGCAATATACTCAGAGCTAAAAAATGACCAAATTGATTTTTTAATTCAATGCATCGCGTTTATCCTTACTCACAATTATTTTTGGCGTGATGACCGATTTTATCTACAAATTGACGGAAACGCCATGGGGACTCGTTTTGCGCCAAGTTATGCAAATTTATTCATGGACAAATGGGAAGAAGAATTTATATGGAACCAATGCCCATTTGGCGCAAACCTGTCCCTATGGCGGAGATATATCGATGATTGTTTTTTTATCTGGAAGGGAGACCTGGCATCCCTTGAGGAATTTAAGATCTATCTTAATACCAACCCATATAACCTTAAGTTTACCTTTAACCACTCGTATGAACAAATTGAATTTCTGGACCTGAACATCTACATTGAAGAAAATATGATACAGACTAAAACTTAAAAAAAAACAGTAGATTGTAATAGTTTCATCCCCTTTAACAGCCACCATAAACCAACACAAGTTTTCTCCAGCAATGTCAGTATATGGTATCTGTTTGTATTAAAGCTCCTTTTTTTCTATGTTACCTCTATGACTGATAAAGGGGGCCTATCTAGGGAATGCTCATTTCCAACTGCTGTTTAGTCCTTCACTGGCCTGATGGGCTATTACGCCATTGCACCCTGCATTAAACTGTGGATTAAATATCCCTCCATGGCTGCATGCCTACGCATCTACCCTCAGGCACAGTTACCTGCACACTCTGATTGGCCTGTTTTGTCTGTGCCCCTTGATTGGCCTGCTTTGTCTGTGCCCCATTGATTTGGCCTACACTGACTGTGCCATGGTTTCTAAATGCCAAGCCTCACTGCTGCATACTCACCCTTGTGCCTTGCATGCGCTGCCCAACTTGCCTCTGCCACTATATGGGGTGCTGTCCGATTATTCTGCTGCTGACACTTGTCTTCTATACTCCTAGGTGTCACATTGCCTAGGGCTGCTTCTACCCGGGGGGCAATATTTGCAGGCAATGATTAATGTGGTGGAGGCCAGGGTCCTCCCTCAAACTCAACATGAGTGGGGCGCTAGAGGGACCCCCTAAAAGGCAGACAACTCGGCTGAGTCAGACTCTCCTAGACGAGAGCAGGCAAGAGCGCAGAAGCGCTACTGGAAGAGTGAAGGCCCTGAACCACACTCCCGGAAGGGTAAGGCTCCAGAGAAGCGTTATGGCCCGATGCTATTGGCCTCGCCGGCCAGACGCCGCCACCTATATGGCACAGGGGAGGAGGTCTACACACCCCTCCCACCCATGGCCGCCCTCGCTGAATGGTAGGCGGACCAGTCCCCCTCGGATGGAGAAGACGATTGGGATAAGGACTATGCTGATGACCTCAAGTGGCACCGTGAGACGGAGGACGCATCTGCGCCAGGGGCGACGACGACCATAGTAGACGATGACGACTTGCTGGACGCTTCTGGCGAACCCCTGTTTGACCCTTGGTCCATTCGGCACCTAGGTTTTCTGAATGGTGTCCCGACCACCTAGCACAATTCTTGCTCCTTTTGTCTGCTGGGCAATAGGAATGTTGCTCTCTGCATGGAACGCAGAAAGGCGGCCCTTCTTCGCATGGATAACAAGTTGTCTGAATGAGGGTCGAAGGAGTTGGGCCCCTGGCTAAGGGTTTTCTCTTCGGAGATCCCTTCATAAAGGAGCTTCATAAGCATGTGAATCTGTTCACCTCGCTGGACAAACCCTAGACCTTCATGAAGAGGGTCTTTCGCCCATGGAATTCACATTTTTTTTGGCAGGGATGGACGACAGCGTGGTTGTGTCTCCTGCCATTTATGGCCTTTTCTTGTCACCGAGGATCCCGTGGACCATCCTTCTTTCTGTCCTACCATTTCCGGTCCTTCTACTTCCAAGGGCGCGGTCCAGTGGGCTCCGGACACGCACAGCTTCTTTAGCTCGATTTTTCTGGTAAGGAAAAAGTCCGGGGATTTGCTCCCGGTGATCAACCTGAGAAGCTTAAACACCTTTGTGGTATGCCATCATTTCAAGAGGAAGGGCATCCTTCTCCTACGAGACCTCCTCCGGCCAGGAGATTGGTTCGCGAGACTGGGTCTGTACAGTGGCGTCTCTAGGATTCATTTTTCGGGGGGGCACATGGAGGGCCAGTGACAAAAGTAGGGGGGCACATTTAACCCCGCCCTTGTTGCAGTTTGACCCCGCCCCTGTCGCATGTTAAGCCACGCCCCCGACACAATGTGTTTCATTTTTTTAATAATACCTGGTGGAGGATTCATTATTTTCCACCAGGGATTATTTAAAAAACAAACACATTATCCTTGATACAGTGCCATAGTTGCCAACATTTGAAAAAAAAATTCTAAGGACATTTTGCAGCACAGCTATCAATTACTGTCTGGGTATAATATCCCTCGACAGTCAGTGCTCTCTGTATAATACAGGGTTGTGTGTATAATAAATTGGGACACTCAGTGCTCCCTGTATAGTGCTGCTCTCTGTATAATACAGGTCTGTTTGTGTATAATATCCCAAGACAGAGAGCAGCACTATACAGGAAGCACTGACTATCCCGGGATATTTTATACACACAGATCTGTATTATACAGATAGCTGAGCATATACCCCAATCTCTAGACTACTAGTACCTGTCAACAGCAGCTCCCAGACGCGTGTAACAGGGCTAAAGTGTGCGGCAGCTCACACAGATTATTCAGCGGTAAAGTGCACTCGCTGGCAGAGCCAAACTGGGAATCCCTGGGAATCCAAAGCAGCCCTGGAAAAAAAACGTATGCCATTCCTACAAGTCAAAATATATATATAGTACAGTAAGCACACAATCTCACTGACATGCGCAAATAGGCTTACTGACAGACAAAACTCTCTGACTCACACACAAGCTTACTACAGACACTCACTTGTATAAACAGAAGGCTCACTACAAAGAAGTTCAGGGACACACACACAAGCTCACTAAAGACAAGCTCACTGACACACACATGCTCACTAAATAGAAGCTCACTGACACACACAAGCAGTACCATTTTAACAGAGTTAAGGGCCCCTGGGCAAAGCAATGCACTGGGGCCCTTCCTACACAACAACTCACAGGAATTTTAATTATTGATAGACTGCGGAGTCCATACACACACACACAGATTGCTGAGTCCATACACACACACATACTGCTGAGTCCACACACACACACACACACATACTGCTGAGTCCATACACACACACACAGACTCTGCTGAGTCCATACACACACACAGAGACTGAGTCCATACACACACAAAGACTGCTGAGTCCACACACACACAAAGACTGCTGAGTCCATACACACACAAAGACTGCTGAGTCCATACACACACACACACACAGACTGCTGAGTCCATACCCACACAGACTGCTGAGTCCATACCCACACAGATTGCTGAGTCCATACACACACATATTGCTGAGTCCATACACACACACACACAGACTCTGCTGAGTCCACACACACACACACAGACTCTGCTGAGTCCGTACACACACAGACCGCTGAGTCCATACACACACATACCGCT